TATATATATATATATATATATATATATATATATACTTCTGTTGATATATTAGTTAGAGTTCAAAGTGTGTAAGATTCGAAGACTACATATCAATTTTTTTTTTTGTAGTATATGAGTTGTTGATGCTTATTGAGCCATTGTTAGCTCGTATACCAATTGCTTAAATATTTCAAATATCAAATAGTAAGTCACGTAATATGCTTCAAATTCAGTTATTAAGTACTTAAATTTTCTAAGATTATATGGATTTGAATATTATAAAGCATTAAAATTTTAATTAAATTATTAAATATGTTATGATTATGTGAGATGAGCGATAGAGCTTTATTGAAATGTGAAAATGTAGGGTGATAAATGATTTAGACAGTTTTAATCTTGCTTTCATCGTAAGAAAATATATGAGGATTGTAATATTGTATCGCTCCTGACTGACTTTTTCGTTGGATTGGCACGTTACTTATATAATCAAACAATAACAAATACTTTTCATCACATATGGCTTGAACATCGAAGGATTTTGCAGTATCAGTATTTGGATCCTTCTCTAGTCTTTCATATATTATGATCTCGGAAGATAGCCAGCAATGTGTGACTTATGCGGTTTATGATCCGAATTGGCTACACATCACCATTTTGATGGATGGTTATACATTCAATTATAATTCTTATTAATCTAGCATTGTATCAGGGTGGAATATTCTCATGCGTGTTTCTATGAAAGAGAATGAACGAGCAACCAATTTATATTTTTTTTCATTAAATACATTTTTTTAGGAAGAAGAACATGGAGACAGCTCAAAATGCAATGATGGAGGAAATGTTCTCATCCTTATGAAATGTATTCTAAATATAACAAAATAAAAGATGGTATCAACGACAGCAACTATCTGAGATTAATTGATATCTTATAACAAAACTTTGTTACGAATTCCCATAGTATTTATTATCTGTATAAAATTCAAACCAGAAAAGCAACACATAAGATATTTATGAAATAATTAAATCCTAATTAACAAGGAAAATTTTCAATGCTTATATTATTTTTTTTTCAAAGTATTTAAATTCTATTATGTTTTCAGAAGTGCTTGCTAATCTTAACAGCGATCATCAATCTCATTTTATCATTTCAAGTTTGAGTTGCTTTGCCTAAACGAAAACATATTGAGATCTTTAATGCCGGCCTCAGTGATGTTAACTTAAAGCAACATTGCTTTCCTCCCAAGTTTCTGATCACAGTTTATATGACGACAAGGATATCTAATTTAATCAAGAAAATTTCAGCAGTATAACAGCAAGGAAATTGACGCAAGTTGCGATTGCAAAATTCTCGTCGAGAAATTTCAGCGGGTTACGACGAAAATTTGTAGCAACACAAAATCATTTTTAGAGATGAATTTCTTAATAGATCAATCATAGATGGAGGTCAAGATGATCTATGAAGTGTATAAGAATTTTCATTCAAAAAAAAATATAAATAAATGGGTTAAGGCAACAATATGCGGCTGAAATTATATGCAAATGTCTTCAGCAGGAAAACATCTCCTACCATTTGGATCTCTGCTGCAAATTTATCTTCCGGTTTTATTTAGAGTTATATTAGAGCAAATTGCAATACGTGCAGTATCGGAAGTTGATAAACCATTTTAGTAATTTCTTGGTAGACTGGTCAAGTTGGAGCACTCAGTGAGATATTGATGGACTTGTGATTTGTTCATTCAAAATACAAGGATGTATCATTAGCTATATATATATATATATATATATATATATAAAACTTTTGAACTGGTTAGAGAAAGAAAAGTATGAATTTGATAGAAGAAATGTTTATTCTCATATTTGACATGTGACAATTTAGGTGATGGGAGCCCCATTCGATAACCAAATCATAAATATAAAATATCCTAAAAATATTCTACTCATGTTATAAAATATTTTTTCAAACTAAACCAATTATAAAAGATTCATTATGTCATAAAAATATAGTTCAATCAATGTTTATCCACACCACCACCTACTGTTTCATTTTATTATTAATTTAAATCTTGAAGGGACTATTAACCCTATCTAATATTGATCGTGATCTTCGTATAGATCTTATGCACACGAATCTAAATTAAGTTGATATCATTTTCTTACATAATTTTTTATTATTCAATTATACCTAAAGATTCTTATGTATATGATCCGATTATCACTGGCATCGTTCTCTAATATAATTCATCGTTACTCTATAAAATTTTAAGTGTTTATTCGACTAATAAAATTATATAAATGATCATTCGTAAGTCTTATCCTCAGAGCAGCAGTCTTACAGACTTAATAACCATTGTGAACTACACTACACACTGAAATAATGACATTCCCCAGTAGTCATCATCAAAGCCTCTGCACCGGTCCAGTGGACAGCTCTGTGTTTGAGCAGTAGCTAGTTAGCAATGAAACACACAAGTGTGAGCATTGGATTTGCAGGTGTGCATGCATGCATACTGCAATCCACATGCTTCCAGCTGAAGCTCCATCATCTAACCTTGAAGTAAAACTTCTGCTAAAGGGGTTTTACTTACCCCAGTTAGAACCTGAGAAGACTTGATCGATGAGCTGAACTACCAATCAAATCCTGCTCGCTTGCCTCCAAAATAGTCTCATAGATGATTCAAAAAAATATATTACTGTAAAGGTTTAGTACACAATAAGCCATCCTCATCGGAGGAGCATTAAAAAATTGACGAAGTGCTATCGGTCATGAGATCCTACGAATACAAAAGGAAAGGGATAAAACGTGTTAACCAGTTAAATACTCATGTTTCTTTCCAAAAAAATATAATAACATTTATATGCTTGAAAACATACAGTCAAACCCAAAAGACTCCTTATACAATTCAATAGTTCCATATTTAACATCTAAATAATCAGCTCTGCATCAAATTTAAACACCAGCATAGAAGAACTTTTCCCATCCTATTGTTTAGATGTTGTTAAAGAGAACATAATAGTCTCTTGTGAAGTACAAGTGCATTTGCTTAGAAATTAAACTTTTTATTTCTTTTTTAGTATCTTATTTATTTACTATTTTAATCTATCCTTAATTACGAAATTGAAAAGATAAAGATGCCACCTGCCTTGGTTGGTAAGTATTTTAATAATAGAAGTTGTCACCTGCCTTAGCTGCAAAGTAACAATAAATTATGTTATTTTAATTGCATAAGATTGAGAAAAAAAGAAAAAATTTAAAAAGTCGACATAAGATTTAATATACTTGGATAAGTTTTACTTATATCTATAGAAAAAATTAAATTAGTCTTAAGTTATTCTTATAAATTTTCTTTATATATTCTCTTATATGAATCTCAAAAAATTTAACTATATATATTTCTCTCGCTCTTTTTAAAAACTTAACATAACACCGTCTTTAGATATATTAGAGAAATATTCATAAACACTCAAAATGTTTCTCATATCTTATTCTTCCCCATCAAAATCTATAGATATATGAGGTATTTATTAGAGAAATAAACCTAATCGTCATTTTCTTCGTGCACGAGCACTTATCATATTAGAATTTCTTTCATTAAGAATCTTAAAATACCTTTTAATCCTGATAAAAATAAATATATTCTTCTGCCATTGAGTTTTGTAAAGTTTAATATCTATATTCAGAACTACAAGAATAACATATACAAATGTTACACTCATTATAAAAAGGAAAATTAGTGCATGAGCTGTTGCCAAAAGCCACAACTTAAATGTGTTGATGATGTATGTAAGGTGAGGGCGTGACTCAAACCAATAACATAATGATAATATGCTTAAACACATACATTGTGGATAAAAACTATGCAATTATCATAAATAAATAAATAAATATATAAAAAGTGTCAAAATGTTCATATTTATTAAATAATTTTTTGGGTGTTTAGACTAATCTTAATTACAATTCGATTCAAATCGAATTAGAATCTTCAATCTAATAGTTCATCAGTTTCATGATGAATGGGAACTAAATCCAGATGATTTAATTACAATCCCTGATTTTTGAGAATCAAAATGGGCTATTCATCGATTCAAATCGACAATTTATTATTTAAAAAAATTACGATTTTTATTTTAAATTGTTTTTAATTAAAAATGAACCGGTTTGATTTTTTTTTTCTCATAATTTAACAACGGGACCGGACCGGTTCCAGAACCGGTTCGGATGAATTGATTGAGCAGTAACGTTTTGATGATTCGGATATTCGCATGTCGAATTTTGATTGGAATAGCCACCACCGTAATGCGACAATAAATAGAGCCTCTTCTCCGGTTCGACGACTAACAATTCTGGAAGCTGCAAAAAAAAAGGGCACAAACTCGCAACGTATGCTTAACAGCGAAGAGAAGCAAGGATCTTCTGCAAGCATGCCTCTAATTGCCATTGTCAAAGTCGCATCTTGAGCGTACCATGTACGCTTTCCTGCTTGTGTTTCTCCTATGAGCCGTCCGATTGGAATTGGGTAGCAAGGATTTTTAATATCCTCCGATGTTGCATGCCACGCCCACACCACCCTTCGCTTTCGTCAATGATTCGACGGTTGGATGACAGCCGTCGGTCGCAACGCGTCACGAACTTCCGGCATCCGACGGCCACAATCGCGTCGGCCAGATGCGAGCTGCAAAATTCCCCTTCTATAATTAATTACCTCTCCCCGCAGCTCCGAGATAGAGGAAAAAGAAGTGGGAGAAAGAGAGAGAGAGAGAGAGAGAGAGGGGGGGTTCGGGTTTCCATTTTTAATCCCTCCGAGCTGTTGTTACTTCTTGTTGTTTCGATCCCTCTCCGCTGTACGGTTTAGTTGGTGGAGAGGAAGGGCTAGGGATTCGGCCGGTGATCCGAGGAGGAAATCGAGGCGGTGGTGATGGAGGCGGAGGAGCAGCGGAAGGGGGCGGAGGAGATCCTTTACAAGACCAAGGTCGTCCAGTTTCTCGGCCGCGCCACTCCAATCGTGCTCCAGAACGACAACGGCCCCTGTCCTCTCCTCGCAATCTGTAAGCCCTTTCCCCTCCCCCTCCGGTTCCTCCGCAAGCGATCGAATGCGGCGTTGCTTTGACTTTCTTGGAAGTTTCTTGTCTGATTGACCTAATTTGATGGTTCTTGGGATGTTTGATCCGGGTATGTTTTCTTGCTGTTTGTAGGTAATGTTTTGCTGCTGAGGAATAATCTCAGTTTGAGCTTGGAGGCGTCGGAGGTCTCGCTGCAGAAGTTGCTCTCTCTTGTCGCTGAAAGATTGATCGATTCCAACAGCAACGTGCAGGTTTGTATCTTCCATTTTCAGCTACAAGAATCTTGGTTTGTAGTCAAGTCTTGGTGTAACTATTCTTTTGATTCTTGCATTCAGGACAAGGATGATGGCTATGTCACCAATCAGCGGCAGAACATTTCTGATGCAATTGACCTATTGCCTCGTCTTGCGACCGGGATCGATGTAAATCTGCATTTTAGGAAGTGCGTTCCCATGTTGCCCTCAGTTTTGGTTCTTACTGACCATATGAAATTGTAACCCTTGTGTTTTTATCTGTATTATTTTTTTATGAAAAATTATGATGTCAAATTTATGAAATCACATGTTACTAGTTGCGTTTGATTATGTAGGATTAATGATTTTGAGTTTACCCGGGAATGCGCCATATTTGATCTCCTAGATATTGGTCTGTATCATGGCTGGATTGTTGATCCCCAGGTAACCTTCCATGCCACTCTGGTCCATGTTGGTATTTTGTTGTTTGCTGTGAGTTATTTGCTTACCTATTTCGTTTTGCTATACACCTAAAAAACTATGGTTCCTTTCTGCTTGACATAATGGTTTGATGACATTCGTTTTCAGAAAAATATATGCTAGAAAAAATGCTATGCTTAAAATGTTTAATATCCTCACCTGATGGCTTTTTTCATTATCTGTTGTGTTCATCTGCATTTTGAATGTCATCCATATAATAGCTTATTCGCAATTTAGTGCTATGTTATTCTGACTCATGTCATGATAGTGTAACAATATCATGTTCTCACATTATGAATAAACCATTTCAAATCCCTATTAGTTGATGATTGACAAATTTTGAAGTAGATATGATTTTTTTTGTTTTGATTAATTACTCATGCAGGACCATCTTTCCTTAGATATTTTGAATTACTGTGCATAACATTTTCTTATTCTTGTCTCATTTCAGTTATTCTTGTTATTTGATATCATACTGAATCTATTATCATATATTCTCTTTTTTCATGCTTTGCAGTGCAAGTCTCTTTTTCAAGTAAACATGTTAATACTTTTTTTTTCTTTAGATTCAATATCCATTTAGTACAGGTTGGTCAAATTTTTGGTAGTTCATGTATGTTTGACACAGAAAAGTACGTGTATCAAATGCTTCATATTATCGATTTTGCCCGATGGATATGGTGTTGAGTAACACAAACGTCTGAGAGGTGCTTTCTTGGTGCAACAGATACATCGTAACAGGAAACCCCATCATTGTTGTTGATTCAGGATGTGGAGGAATACTCATCATCATCGTACCTTCTTGTTATATTGAATCCTAATATCAGACTATAAGTTTGCTTATTTCTTATTCAATTAAAATTGTAAAAATAAAAACTACCTAGTGGAGTGTTCGGTAAATGGAAAATTTTGATTTGATCTGCTTAAAGTCGATGTTAACAAGTTTTGATCTTTTTGTAAGCTCATTTCAACGTAAATCAAATTAAATTGCTTGAAATATAGAAGAGCACATCATCAGGTTTAATTTTAATTACGAAATCACCAGATGGTCTTTGGGAAGAAAGAATAACTATATTAAAGATACTACTGTATCGGATTCTGAGTTCAGAAACAGTCTCATGTGCATCATTTTTGTTTGTGCTTGGGCTATGCTGAGTGCATGCCTTTGCATTTGTTATTTTGGTTTGCTACCATGATGTGTGGAAGTGGAGTGCATGCCTTTGCATTAGAATCTTGAACATTTAACTTCTGGTGAGCTTTTCATGCGCCATAAATGTAATTTCATTGCATCTTCCTGTTGAAAACTGATGATAAATGCAAGAGACATATTACTGGTGATGGTTGAAGGTTATCTTTGTTTACTATTCCAGATTTTTCTGTAAGCATACTGCCAAATATTCTTGATTCACTTCTCATTTCTCAGACTTTGCTTTTTATTGCATTTTCTTTTGTGTTGTTGACTTTACAGTCTCCATTTTTGTATGTTTGGATTTCTGCTTCGTAGATTTGACAATACCAGGCGAAGAAAAAATAAGTCTTTCTGGCTCATTGATTCTCTGGGTATCCTTGAAGGAGCCGTTAGTTTACTAAGCAGTTAACATAAGTAATTTTGAAATTTTATTTTGAAAAATGTTTTATGAATGTGTAGATCTAAGTGCTATTTATCAGTGAACTGGTGTACATTTTTTTGTACATTTTCTGGATGCGCATGCTAGTAAACATTATCTTTCATTGATATATCCAGAGATCTTGGTTCTATTCCCTTTTTTTTATTTTTTTAAATTAAGACCTTGAATTGCAAGCTTTAAAATGATTTGTATTGCAGTTCAAAGTTCTACAGCTCATGAGAGATGTACTTGACTTGCTTTTGCTTTGATTTTGTGTACATGCTGGAGAGTTATCTGATTAAGTAGATACAGTGCCTCCTGTTCTTTATCAAAAGTTCATTTTTGGTAAAATTAAGACCAGTATCAGGCATTAATTCATGTTTGTAGAAAATGATTTTCTCAAGTTCAACTTCTTAATATTTGTTTATAGCATGTCTGATGTGCATTAAGAAAGTTACATTAGGGATATTCCTTGTGTGACCAAGCACATGGCATACATGGAATAACCAAGTTATGTGGCTGTTTGTTTACATGAAGAACAAGCATGATGTCTATGCTACTCTTGAACCGAAAAAATCTATATAAAAAATATAAGAGAACTTGGTAAAACTTTCTTATTTTTTTGGAGGGGAGAAACATACAAGGACAATCTCTATTCCTATGCTGCTACATTCTAATTGTTGTGGTTCTCATAGTTTTGGTCTATATACAGTTCTTTGCCTGTTCTAAATTCTTGACTAATCCTTTGAATTTACTTCCCTGTTTCTGATCTCTTACATTCGAAGATAAGTTGATTTACATTTTTGTTAAAAATACCTAAGTAATATCAACTTTTGGGAGATCGAAAGATCTTGGACCTTACTTCTCAAGTGCTTCTTTTTGTTCCTGCATACCAAATGTGATTGTTCTCTTTATTATTCTTCTTCTTTTGTTTATCAGGCCTCTTCCAGTGTACATAGCGTAGATTGTGTATTAATCATGTTCTTTTCTATTATTTATGGTTTGGTTACTCACTTTATTTGTGGGATGCATCATGCCTAATATGGGCCATTATCTATCAATGGGTACCTTTTATTTAAAGAATCACTTCTTTTCATACTTCTTGTTACTTGCATCTTTATCATCAAGGATGAAAACAGATACAATATGGAACAAGTAGTCAAAAAAACACAAATTTTTAGTCACTTCTAATGAGCAGATATGAATATACTGGTTTGTGTATTTGATATACACTAGATGTTGACACTATTTGTTCAAAATGAAATCCTAATCAAATATGACATGTGGCATATATAGAATTCTGGATGGGGTGGATGTAGATACAAATTGAATGTGATGGCTAGAAATACGAACCAAATCAATAATGATAGCACAATGATGGATATTTGATGTGATCAATTAAGGCAAAAGATTGGAGGTATACTAAACATAGGAATCTGATATTTCTATATATTTTTAATGTTGTTAAACTGGTTATAGAGATTTTTTAGAGACACCACTTTAATAAAAATATAAGCTGCTCACAAGTTCTTATGTCAAATCAAAAGTTGTAGAGGATTCCAAACTGTTTGTGGTTGAGCATGAGAAGTAAAACATATATTGGACAGTGGTCAAAATAGAATCCACATTAACCTTTTTTTCCAATAAAAGGTAAATATTTTACTTAACTATATGCATACATCCTAAGCCCCTCTTGTTGGAGCATAACAAAAACTGCAGATATGAGCGATAGACAATTCAAGATCCTGTTCCAATGATTGGATGGCAAAATTAGCAAGCCTAGCAACAGTGTAACCTTCTAAAGATATGAGAGATTGTGTATTCTACAAAAAGTTCAATTTAATATCTGTAACAATGCTTAGAATATGTCAAGAAGGGTCTTTGTTCTCCAAGATTTCTGTGGTTGTTACATGTCCTCTTAATATAAGCCATTATTCCTCTTACTTACACTTAAGCTTGCAATGCTTCAGCATTGATATTCACTACATTGTTTCTTGTGCCTGTTCTTTTATATTGAATCTATGGTGCTATTCAACTTTGATCGTTTTTTGTTTCGTTGAGTTTATAATTTTTATATTTTTCATATTCATCCCTTTTTTCTTTGCACTTGAATTTTTTTAATTTAAAAACTTTCACCCTATATTCGAGCACTTGCCCTATTAATTCTATACCTCTTTTGTTCAAATAAATCGACCCTTATTTTTGGTATTTAGTTGTCAATATTTGGGCTCTAAGTTGAGCGTACAGTTGTTATGCTGACTAGTTTAGCCTTTGTTAGTATAGATGAATCGCTAGCAAAGGCATTTAACTTATCTATGCTGTATCTCAGGACACTGATACTGCAGCTGCAATTGGGTCAAAGTCGTACAATACTCTAGTTGCTGAGCTTGTTGCTTTTGAAACAAAAAGATCTGAGGGAGATAGTAGGGGTGAAGAAGAAGAAGATTGTGTTGATTTTGCTGCAGCTACAACTGCTACCTTAGGAGTTCCCTCACCAAACCTTTCAAGAGGTAGATCATTTGATGATCATCAGGTTCCAGTCCTTGACGATCAAAGAAAAGGGAAAGGTGATATCCAAGAAGAAGAGGAGCTGATGAGGGTCTTAAATCTCTCAAGGGATGAAGTTTCAAATCCTGTTAGTGCTTCTGTATCATCTGTTGGTGGTTTGAGTGATTCATCTCTTGGTTTAGATGCAAATGATAAGAGATCTTGTGCTGGAAATTGTGCTGATACTTTTGGGGAACAAGCCAGAGATGATTGTAACAAAAGCAACCACTCAGATTCCTTTGCATTGCAAGAATGCAATGCATCTGCTGATTGCAAGGGTGTTGTGTTTGCAGAAGATGGTTCTGTGCTTTCCAATGTTGTTGCTGGGAACGATACGTGTCAGACAGGCCATGAAGGATCTGTAATTTATGATATATCTAATAAATCAGAGGAAATTGATATGGTAATGCCCAACCAGGCCACAAATTTCCAGTCTCCTGATAATGGTGGTTCAGACAGGTATTGCAGTTACAAGGACCTGATGATTGTTTCAGCAAATGATGAGTCTATCTCAAAAGCTTGCTCTGGAGATTGCAACTCTCAAATTCATGAAAATTCCACTGATATTTTAAACAAAGCTTCACCATACAATTTGCAATCCTCAAATGGAATTGAAGAGCTTTCAAATGTTTCTGAGGTTGTCACTTCATGTCCTGGGGGTGAGCCGATATATGAAGGAGAAGAATGTATCCTTGAATCTGGACTAACTATCTATGCAGATCGGGAACCAGTCTATGAAGGTGAGATGGTTCTTGCTGAACAGGCTGAACAAACAGAAGAGAATAGGCACCTTGCAAATACAAGTGATGAGGTTGCTCACAAGCATTGTAAGACAATTTCTGGGCCTTATTGAAAGCTTCTTGTTTAGTATTGGGGGTTCTTATGACTCCTTTAATGCTGACAAAAAATCCTTGAAAATTATCTGTTGTATTTGTTTCTAGGGCAACTTATAAAGAATTTTCTGGAACATAATGCAAGCCAATTGACAATTTACGGGTGAAGTGTCATCGCTTTCTAATGTGCATGTTATTTTCTTATGCAATGTAAATGTGATTGGAGTTTATATTGTTCAAAGACTCTGTTTTTGCAGGCTGTTCTGTTTGCAAGAAGGCCTTAAGGAGAGAGAACTCTGTGTTTTCTTCCGAAATAATCATTTCAGCACTATGTTCAAGGTAAAATGATAAAGTGGATCATGTATGTCTGCTCTTTAATTTCTTTGATTTGTATTGATTATGTACATTTTACTTGTAACAGGATAAGATTCTGAAATTCTTATTTATTTAATCCATACTGAGGGATCTCTTACAAATTTTGTACTTGTTGTGTAGTTCAATGGTGATCTGTATCTATTGGCTACTGATCAAGGTTATATGAACCAGCCAGATTTGGTTTGGGAAAAGCTGAATGAGGTATGCTCTATTTGATGTTTGGTTGATGCGTGCTTACCAATGATTTTAATTTTGAATAATACCACCCGTATCGGGCGGTACGTACCGGTCCACCAATAGACTGGTATACGGACTGACCGCTACCGGGCGGTACCGTTGATTGGGGTTGTTTCCGTCCTGTTATCGTCCTAAATCGGGCGGTGACCGAGGGAGAAAAAGAAGAGGGAGAAGGGTGGTATTAACTGAGGGAAGAAAGAGAAGGAAGAAGAGGAGAATCTGGAGATCGGCGCCGCTCTCCCTCCTCTTTTGTCGGCGACTTCACCTCATTCGTGTAGGGAGAAGAATCCTCGACATTGCGGGAAGAAGAGAGGCAACGTCGTGGGCAGAAAAGAGGCGACGTCATTGAGGTGACATTGCAGAAAATGATTTTTTTTTTTACTTATATATATATATATATATATATATATATATA